CACTTAACAGGTATACAATGGCATTAAATTCATATCTATCAATAATCACTCAGAATGTAAATTGACTAAGTGCTCCAATCAAAAGACATAGGGTAACAAAATGAATAAAAAATAAATAAGACCCTTCTATATGCTGCCTACAAGAGACTCATTTTAGACCTAAAAATACTTGTAGATTGACAGTGAGGGCCATTTATCATGCTAGTGGCCATCAAAAGAAAGCTGGAGTAGCCATACCTGTATCAGACAAGCTAGGTTTTAAACCAATGACTGTAACAAGAGATGAAGAAGGGCATTATATCATAATAAAGCAGTCTATCCAACAAGAAGATCTAACAATTATAAATATTTATGCCCCCAACATGGGAGCACACAAATGTATAAGATTAATAACAAACATAAAGGACCTCATTGTTAATAATACAAGAATAGTAGGGGACTTTAACACACCACTGACAGCAAGGGACAGATCATCTAAGCAGAAAATCAATAAGGAAACAATGGCTTTGAATGACACACTGGATCAGATGGACTTAACAGATATACTCAGAACATTTCGTCCTAAAACAACAGAATACACATTCTGCAGAATAGATAACATATTGGGTCGCAAATCAAGCCTCAACAAGTACAAAGAGATTGAGATCAGACCGTGCATATTTTCTGACCACAACATTATAAAACTTGAAGTCAACCACAAGAAAATATTTGGAAAGACCACAAATACATGGAGGTTAAAGAACATCCTACTAAAGAATGAATGAGTCTACCAGGAAGTTAAAGAAGAAATTTTTTTAAAGATTTTATTTATTTATTTGACAGAGAGAGAGAGATCACAAGTAGGCAGAACATCAGGCAGACAGAGAGGGGGCGGGAAGCAGGTTCCCTGCTGAGCAGAGACCCCCCCCACCCATGTGGGGCTCGATCCCAGGACCCTGAGATCATGACCTGAACAGAAGGTAGAAGCTTAACCCACTGAGCCACCCAGGCACCCCATAAAGAAGAAAATTTTTTAAGAACACATGCAGTCAAATGAAAATGAAAATACGATGGTCCAAAACCTTTGGGATGCATCGAAAGTGGTTATAAGAGGGAAGTATATTGTAACACAGGCCTTCCTCAAGAAGCAAGAAAAATGTCAAATATACAACCTAACATTAAAACTAAAGAAGCTAGAAAAAGAATGGCAAATGAAGCCTAAAGCCTACAGAAGAGTGAAATAATAAAGAAACGAGCAGAAATACATGATATAGAAACAAACAAAGAAACAAAAAACACCCAGTAGAACAGATCAATGAAACTAGGAGCTGGTTCTTTGAAAGAATTTATAAAATTAAAAAATCCCTAGTCAGACTTATAAAAATGAAAATAAAAAGGACCCAAAGAAATAAAATCACAAATGAGAGAGGAGATCACAACCAATACCACAGAAATACAAACAAGTAAGAGAATATTATGAAAACTTTATGCCAACAATTTGGGCAATCTGGAAGAAATGGATACATTCCTAGAAACATATAAACTACTAAAATTGAAAGAGGAAGAGACAAAAAATTCGAACCAACCCATAACCAGCAAAGAAATTGCACCAGTCATCAAAAATCTCCCAACAAAAAAAAGTCCAGGGCCAGATGGCTTCCCAGGGGAACTCTACTAAACATTTAAGGAAGAGTTAATACCTATTTTGAAACTGTTCCCAAAAAATGGAAATGGAAGGAAAACTTCCACTTCTGAGCAGGCTCTATCTTATCAAACTTGGGGCACCTGCGTAGCATAGTCAAGTGAGCATCCAGCTCTTGGCTTTGGCTTAGGTCGTGGTCTCAGGATTGTGAAATCAAGTCCTAAGTTGGGCTCTGCACTCAGCAGGGAGTCTGCTTGGGTTCTTTCTCCCTCTGCTACTCCCCCCATCCCTCTTGCACTCTCTCTCTCTCTCAAATAAATGAATAAATCTTAAAAAAGAACTTATCAAACTGAACACCTGAAAACCGAATAATCCAGTTAAGAAATGCCAGAAGGCATTATATATTAAAAAAATAAATAAAATAAAATATAAAGAAATGCCAGAAGGAAGGGCGCCTGGGTGGTTCCATTGGTGAAGCATCTCCTTCAGCTCAGGTCATGATCCCAGGGTCCTGGGATCAAGCCCCACATGGGGCTCCCTGCTCAGCGGGAAGCCTGCTTCCCCCTCTGTCTCTCTCCCCTGCTTGTGCTCTCCCTCTCTCTCTCTCTCCAATAAATAAATAAAATCTAAAAAAAAAAAAAGAAAAGAAAGAAAGAAAAGAAATGCCAGAGGGCATGAATAGACATTTTTCCAAAAAAGACATCCAGATCGCTAATAGATACATGAAATATGCTCGGCATCACTCATCATCAGGGAAATACAAATCAAAGCTACAATGAGATACCAGCTCACACCTTTTAGAATGGCTAAAATTAACAATTCAGGAAACAACAGATATTGGCAAGGATGTGGAGAAAGGGGAAACTTCTTACATTGTTGGTGGGAATGCAAGTTGGCACAGCCCCTCTGGAAAAACAGTATGGAGTTTCCTCCAGAAGTTAAAAATAGAGCTACCCTACAAATCACCAATTATACTACTAGGTATTTACCCAAAGGATACAAAAATACTCATTTGAAGGGACACATTCACGTCAATGTTTATAGCAACAGTGTCCACAATAGCCAAACTATGGAAAAAGCCCAGATGTCCAAAACTGATAAATAAAGAAGGTGTGGTGCGCGCGCGCACACACACACACACACACACACACACACACACAAACACACACACACACACACACACACACAGTGGAATATTATGCAGCCATAAACAAAATGAAATCTTACCATTTGCAGTGATGTGGATGGAGCTAGAGAGTATTATGCTAAATGAAATAAGTCAGAGAAAGATAAATACCATTTGATTTCACTCTTATGTGGAACTTAAGAAACAAAACAGATGAATATGAGGGAAAGAGAAAAAAAGGAGGGAGGCAAACCATAAAAGAGACTCTGAACTATAGAGAACAAACATGGTTGATGGAGGGTAGTGGGCAGAGCCTGGGCTAAATAGGTAATTGGCGTGAAGGAGGACACTTGTGCTAAGTACTGGGTGTTGGATGTAAGTGCTGAATCACTAAATTCTACTCCTGAAATCAAAAAAAAAAAAAAAAACAGAAATCGAAAAAAGATATTTTTGTGACACAAAAATAATGTGTATCACCATGAGAAATAGGTTAATAGATCACATATCAGATTTAATGACAATAAACTTACGTGGAAATGAGTAATGAGATTGGGATGCAACTAAAACAGATAGGTAAGCAACAGATACAAGAATCTGGCAAAAGACAATGGAAGAATTCTGTGATAATGAATTGGCTATACAATATTTACAATACAGTATTGTATATTGGGGCGCCTGGGTGGCTCAGTGGGTTAAGTGTCCCACTCTTGATTTTGGCTCAGTTTGTGTTTTCAGGGTCATGAGATAGAGCCCCATGTTGGGCTCTGCACTCAGAAGGGAGTCTGCTTGAAGGTTCCCTCCCTCTGCTTCTCTCTCTGTGCCCCCAACCCTCCAACTCACACTCATGCTCCCTCTAAAAGTAAGTAAATAAATCTTTTTTAAAAACTATTCTGGGGTGCCTGGGTGGCTCACTGGTTAAGTGTCTGCCTTCAGCTCAGGTCATGATCTCAGGGACCTAGGATCGAGCCCCACATCAGGCTCCTTGCTCGGCAGGGAGCCTGCTTTTCCCTTTGCCTGCTGCCCCCTCTGCCCGTGCTCTCTAATAAATAAATCTTTAAAAAGAGAGTGTTGTATATTTAATTCCCCACTATAAAATGAGTGCTACACATCATTCATATGGGTAAATCTTATAATAAATTCCAATATATAATACATTTTCCCTGGAGAGGTGATTGTTAAATATTTTCCAACACACACACACACACACACACACACACACACACACACACAATCTCTTGTCCTCATTATCCCCACAGAGATATCTGCAGCCCCGGAGCCCACTGAGCCTTTCTGTGCTCCAGGACCCGACTTCTCCCTCTGTGAACACCATCCCTGTAGTGTCCTATGACCACCTATTGTGCCCCTCTTAGCCTGGCCCATACCTCTCCCATGTACTCTACTTGATTTTCCTTTTCTTAAAAAAATCTTTTATTTATTTGAGAGAGAGAGTGAGTGAGAGAGAGCATGAGAGGGGAGAAGGTCAGAGGGAGAAACAGACTCCCCAAGGAGCTGGGAGCCCGATGAGAGTCTTGATCCCGGGATTCTGGGATCAGGACCTGAGCAGAAGGCAGTCGCCCAACCAACTGAGCCACACCCAGCGCTCTCTACTTGATTTTCCTAAGCAGGAGTATTGTCTTCCTCTCACACACTCTGCCGTTCAATCCCTGGGCTAATTCTTCTTCTTCTTCTTTTTTTTTTTTTAGATTTTATTTTTTTATTTGAGAAAGAGAGAGAGAGCACAAGGAGGGGGCAGAGGCAGAGAGAGAGAGAGGAAGAAGCAGACTCCCTGTTGGGCAGGGAGCCCAATGTGGGACTCAATCCCAGGACCTTGGGATCATGACCTGAGCTGAAGTCAGATGTTTAACCGACTGAGCCACCCAGGTACCCCTCCCCCCGGCTAATTCTTAATTTAGAGGCCTATTTCTCTATGTCCCCAAACTACCCATGACAAGGGATTTCTCTTATTACCCCCCTCAACCATCAACTTGCTCTGATCACATGGGGTGGGGGCTCTAAAAGAGGTCCCCCCCAAGTTTCATTTTTTTAAGGGGTGAAGAAAGATGTATGGCAACTGGCAGGACATATTTAAGTGACATTTTCAAAGTAAACTTTATATTAAGAAAACATACGGTGAAGGGCACAAATCTTAATCCCTGTGAGATCTGACAAACGTATTCACGTAGGTGACCAGCAGCAACAAGATCTAGGACACTTTTAGCCACCCCAGGAAGCTCCTTTATCCTTCTCTGAAAGCAAGAAAGCCTTCAGCAGGAAATCTGATCTCACCCTTCATCATAGGATTCATATTTCTGAGAAGCTCTATGAATGTAATGAATGCAAGGAAGCCTTCTCCTATAACACATCCTTTACTGACCATCAGAAAACTCATGCTGGGGGCGCCTGCGTGGTTCAGAGGGTTAAGTCTCTGCCTTCAGCTCAGGTCATCGTCTCAGGGTCCTGGGATCGAGCCCCACATCGGGCTTCCTGCTCAGCGGGGAGTCTGCTTTCCCCTCTCTGCCTGCCTCTCTGCCTGCTTGTGATCTCTCTCTGCATGTTAAATAAATAAAAATATATTTTTAAAAGATTTTATTTATTTATTTATTTATTAGAGAGAGAGAGAGATCACAAGTAGGCAGAGAGGCAGGCAGAGAGAGGAGGAAGCAGGCTCCCCGCTGAGCAGAGAGCCCGATGCGGGCCTCGATCCCAGGACCCTGAGATTATGACCTGAGCCGAAGGCAGAGGCTTTAACCCACTGAGCCACCCAGGCACCCCAATAAATAAAAATCTTAAAAGAAGAAGAAGAAGCAGTCATGCTGGGCAGCAATGCTATGAATGTACCGAATGTGGGGAAGCCTTCTTCTGGAAGTCAGAATTAATTGTACACTCCTGAACTCACACAGGGAAGAAACCTTACAAATGTACTGAACGTGAAGAAGTTTTTAGCACAAAGTCGTATCTCATCATACATCACAGATCTCATACTGGGGAGAAGCCCTCTATATGTTCCAGCTGTGGGAATGGCTTCAGTCCTGGCTCCAGACTTATTAAGCATCAGAGAATTCCCTCTCGAGAGAAATCATCAATTTAAGGAATTTAGGGAAACATTTGTATTTTTAAGATCTAATCATATAAGGGGACACCAGGCTGGCTCACTCAGTGACTCAGTGTGAGTGAGTGTGATTCTGGATCTGGGAGTTGTGAGTTCGAGCCCCACGTTGGGTGTAGAGATTACTTAATAAAATCATTTAAAAACTTATGTAAGGAAAGTTATGTTTCAGATGTGATCTCCAAATTTTCAAATGTTTTAAAAAGAACAAATTAAGGGACGCCCGTGTGGCTCAGTCAGTTAAGCATCTGACTTTGACTCGGATCATGATCTCTGGGTTCTGGGATCGAGTCCCACGTGGGGCTCCTTGCTCAGTGGGGAGCCTGCTTCTCTCTCTGCCTGCTTCTCCCCTGTGTGTGTTCTATCTCTCTGACCAATAAATAAATTTTAAAAATAAAATAAAATAAAAATAAGGACTTAAATAAAAACAAAAGAGCATCACACACTTGAAAAATTAGCAATCATTACTTAATATCATCAAACAGCTGCTCAGTGTTCAGGTTTCCTCCAGGTCTCATAGTTTTATTTGTTTTATTTTTTTTTAAAGATTTTATTTATTTATTTATTTGACAGACAGAGATCACAAGTAGGCAGAGAGGCAGGCAGGGAGAGAGGAAGGGAAGCAGGCTCCCTGTTGAGCAGAGAGCCCGATGCGGGACTCGATCCCAGGACCCTGAGATCATGACCTGAGCCAAAGGCAGCGGCTTAACCCACTGAGCCACCCAGGCGCCCTCATAGTTTTATTTTTATATTTGAGTTTACAAATTGAGTTCTAAACAAGATCCACAGATTGTATTTGCTCAATTATGTCTCTTTGGACTCTTAATCCCTACCTTCTTTTGTCTCCTTTTTTCCCACCCCCTTAAAATTTATTCACTGAAGAATCCAGATCTTTCACCCTAGAATTTCTCAGGTTCACCTGGGCAGCTCCGTCCTGAAGCGTCAATATTCATCCCCTCAGTCATAACCACTGTTCGGACCTCTATTATCACAGATTAGTTTTGCCTGTCTTAGCACCTCATATATATTGAATCATACAGTGTGTAGTCTTTTGTGTCTGGCTCACCAAAATATTTGCAAGATTCACCCATGCGGGAGGGTTTGGAGGTTCTGGTGATGTTTTCCATCTTGATCTTGGTGGTAGCGACACAGGTATAAATGTACGAAATACGACTGAGCTGTATACTTAAGATTTGTGAACTTTACTGTATGTTATACTTCCATTGAAAAGTAAAAGGAGGGGGCACCTGGCTGGCTCCATCGGTAGAGTGTGCAACTCATGATCTTTTTATTTTTTTAAGATTTTATTTATTTATTTGGGAGACAGAGATCACAAGTAGGCAGAGAGGCAGGCAGAGAGAGGGGGGGAAGCAGGCTCCCTGCTGAGCAGAGAGCCCGATGCGGGGCTCGATTCCAGGACCCTGGAACCATGACCTGAGCCAAAGGCAGAGGTTTTAACCCACTGAGCCACCCAGGCTCCCCATGGACTCTTGTCTTGAGATTGTGAGTTCGAGCCCCATGCTGGGTGTGGAGATGACTTAAAAACAAAATCTCTTTGTAAAAGAGAAAATTAAATTAAATTAAATTAAAGTAAAAGAAGAATTAAGGAGAAATAGCCATGTAAATGTTGATCAGTAATATAGAGGAGTTACCAATGTAGTTCATTCTAAAAGTGAGCCACATTTAATTTTTAACCTTGTTCATATTTTAAACACTAAATAAATATCACATCATTTTTCTCTTTTGGGAGGGAAATATTTATTTATTTATTTGAGAGAGAGAGCATGCAAGAAAGCCTAAGTGGTGGAGAGGGAGAAGCAAGCTGTCCATTGAGCAAAGCGCCCAATGCAGGGCTTGATCCTAGGACTCTGGGATCATGACCTGAGTTGAAGGCAGATGCTTAACAGATTGAGCCACCCAGGCGTCCCACATCGTCTTTATCTTAACCTGCATGAGCTGACATATGTAAGTTGGTGGGGAAACTGATCCTGAGGCCCTGTTCAATAATAGAGCCAATACCCTTGATGTCTTCTGCTACCTGAGCCCTACCTTGGGCTCCATGCCAGTGTGGAGCCTAGTTAAAAAAAATTTTTTTTAATTTTTTTAAAAGTTGAAAAAATGTTTAAAAGATTTTATTTATTTGAGACAGAGAGAGAGAGAGAACATGAGCAGCAGAAGGGGGACAGAAGGAGAGGAAGAGCAAGAAGCAGACTCCCCACCAACAAGGGAGCCCAATGTGGGACTCGATCCCAGGCCCCTGGGATCATAACCTGAGCTGAAGGCAGACGCTTAACCAACTAAGCCACCCAGGCATCCCGAAAAGACACTATTTTCAATATATGTTTTCCTTAATTACTTCATTTATTATATCTTTTTGCTTTACCGATATTGACATTATTATATAGTAAAACATACACATTCTAAATTTGTAGCTTCTTGGTTTCCCTTATTGGCATAAAAGTTCTTCCCTCTAAAAGTATGGTCTTGGGAAGCCTAGTGGGTTCAGTCTGCAGAGGGTTGGACTCTTGATCATGGAGTCGTGAGTTTGAGTGCCACATTGGGGGTAGAGTTGACTTAAAAAAATAAATAAGTGGGGGCGCCTGGGTGACTCAGTGGGTTAAGCCTCTGCCTTCAGCTCAGGTTATGATCCCAGGGGCCTGGGATCGAGTCCCACATTGGGCTCCCTTGTTGGTGGGGAGTCTGCTTCTTGCTCTTCCTCTCCTTCTGTCCCCCTTCTGCTGCTCATGTTCTCTCTCTCTGTCTCTCTGTCTCAAATAAATAAAATCTTCTAAACATTTTTTCAACTTTTAAAAAAATTTAAAAAAAAATTTTTTTAACTAGGCTCCACACTGGGATGGAGCCCTGCATCGGGCTCTCTGCTCAGCAGGGGAGCCTGCTTCTCCCTCTCTCTCCGCCTGCCTCTTTGCCTACTTGCGATCTCTGTCAAATAAATAAATAAATAAGATCTTTAAAATAAATAAATAAATAAGTGTACAGTTTAAAAAATAATCTTAAACAAATAGAAGTATGGTCTGACGTTAAGATTTTATCAAGTTCACCACGTTTTTAAACCTAACACAAAAATCTCATTCCCTTTAGGCTCCATCTGGGAAGCTGACAGTCTTCTAGAGGGCCCCCTGAGGATTTAAGGTTGTTAAATTAAATTAAAGGTTGTTAGATGAGTGCTTTGAACCAAGGTAGCAGTCCCTGTAGCTCTGCCGTGCACCTTTGAGCATCCTTCATCCCTAAACTTCAAGCAAGCAGGCAGCACCCACACCGCAGCCTCTCCTTGGGTGCAGCCATCTTGGATCATGTATCAGCTACATCCACCTCAACTTGAACTAACTCCTCCTCCCGCTCTGTGTCTACTTTTTTTTTAAAGATTTTATTTATTTATTTGACAGACAGAGATCACAAGTAGGCAGAGAGGCAGACAGATAGAGAGAGAGGTGGAAGCAGGCTCCCTGCAGAGCAGAGAGCCCGATGTGGGGCTCGATCCCAGGACACTGGGACCATGACCTGAGCCGAAGGCAGAGGCTTTAACCCACTGAACCACCCAGGTGCCCCCCGCTCTGTGTCTAAATCTGGTCTTCTTCACCCCACCCTTGGTGCCAGCCCCAGTCTCCATGACACCCATTCTCTGCCAAACACTCCAGTCTCTGAGCATGCTGTCCAGGCCTCAGTGTGACTCGCCAAACGTTCCAAGGGGAGGTTCCATGCCTGCAGTGCTGGTGCCCTCCTTGTAGCTAAGGAGGCTGGCTTGTTGCTAGGAGTTTCACTACAGCTAAATTCCAGCCTGGGGACTTTATGCCAAACAAGACCTTAAATACCAGACCTAGGTGCAGTGTCAGTCCCCAAACACATTGCCATGCCCAAATGTGTGCACCTCAACCGACTAGGAGTCCATTCACCAATTGGAATCTCCACCCGACCACTCTCAGACCCGCCCTTGCCTTGAATGGTAAAAGTTAGTCTCAGCATGGTACTCTGGGCCAGGTCTGACTCTCTGTTGGCCATCTGGCCCCATTCTGAAGGGAATAGCAGGGCGACATGACACAGAAGAGTTTGTTCTTGTCCCTTGCCCACTGCTTAGTAGCTTTGTCTTGAGGCTTCCCAGGACCCCAAGCTATGTCCCCTGTCTGCATTTCTACATGTCAGTTTCAGCAAGACCCTGTGGTAGGCAGTGTTGGTGTAGGACAGGTAGGTAGTGGTCTCCTTCTCCAGTCTGTCTAGATAGTACACACTGAGGAAAGAGGGATGGTATCCTGGGGACAGAGAGCTGGCTATGGGGA